TAGACATCCGTAAGAACTACTTCACAGTTAGGGCGGCTAGGATCTGGAACCAACTTCCAAGGGAAGTGGTGCTGGCTCCTACCCTGGGGGTCTTTAAGAAGCGGCTTGATGCCTACCTGACTGGGGTCATTTGAGCCCAGTTTTCCTCCTGCCCAGGCAGGGGGTCGGATTTGAAGATCTACAAGGTCCTTTCCGACCCGACTTCTAAAATTCTATGATTCTTTGCTGTAACTTTAGCCCATTGCTCCTTGTTCTGTCATCTGATACCACTGAGAACAGTCTAGCTCTATTAAATACCCTCCTCTCTTCTCTAGAGTAAATAAGCCAAGTTCCCTCAGCCCCTCCTCACAGGTCATGCCCCCCATATCTCCCAGTCCCATCACCATATTTGTTCCCTTCTGCTAGATGCTGTCCAATTTGCCCATAGTCTTTCTGCAGTGGGGGGCCCAAAACTGAACTCAGGACTCCAGATGTGGCCTCATCAGTGCTGAATAGAGGGGAAGAATAACTTCCTTTAAGCTACTGGCAACACACCAACCAATGCAGCCTGGGATGCTGTTTGCCTTCTTGACAAAAAAGACTCACTGTTGACTCATATTCAGTGTATTGTCCATTGGATTTGGTTTACTCATATCTGATTCCCTAATTCTGCCTTGTGTTTTCCATTCTTCCCCTGGATTTCTCTCTGGATCTGGTCGTTTGGCTCCTAAACTGTGACCTGTCACCTAGCCCCTCCCTTCCAACAACTTTTTATTGAATGCCAATTTGCTAACTATGAACTCAATCCCATCCTCCAAATCATTAATGAAGATACTAAACAATATTAAACCCAGAAGAGACCACTAGGAAGACCCATTCAATATTTCTTCCCTACTAGATTTTAAACTCTCGGTGACTGCTTCCTGAACACAATGATCCCACCAGTTATCTAGCCATCTGCCTTAGAGTAATTGTGAGGCTTGTGGCACACAGTTCCAAAAACCTTATGAAAGTCATGGTACATTGCCTCGTCTTTATCCAGAGAGGAGGTGATCTTGTCAGGCATGACTTTCTTCGATGTATCCAGAAGAAATGCAAAACTCTAGAACTCCTGGTTCAAAGATGGTATCTTTTATTAGACCAACTAAGAAATTGCCATGACATCAATTGACTCCTTTATTGCTGCTTCAATACAAGCAGTGCTGCTGCTCCCAGGCAGTTGCTTTTAAACTTTGGATGGACCATAAATCAAAAAGAGGTGGAGCTTTACACCTGCACCCTGCCCTGCCATGCGCCACTCCTAGGGCCATTGAGTAGGGATCTCAAGCTCATTTGGCCCTGTGGGCCAGGTGAGTGGTGTAGGACTGGTCCCTAGACTGGATGCATGGCATTGGGCTGGCCTCAGAGGCTGGACTGAGTCCACAAACTGTCCCCCACATGCCAGATCCAGCACCCATGGTGCCCAACTCAAGCTAATTTGGGACTGTGCCTCACATGGTGCCTGTTCTAGTTGGTCCAGAGAGAGAACTTTGTGCAGTTCCAGCCCCAGGCCAGCCACAGTGGATGCTAGGTCCAGTCTGTAGGGGACCCATGTACTGCTTCCCCCTGCATACTACATCCAGCACCTGCCCTGGGACCTGTGCTGCAGAGAGTGGCGATTCCTTGACTTCGGTGGCAACCACTTCCCCCTTACCAGACTGTTTTAAGGAAGCAACTGTGTAGCCCTCATCTCGTCCCTGAATTCACTTTAACTGAGATATCATGCAATCATCAGGGGGAGATGGGCAAGGGACCCCATCATCCTGTTTGTCCTCCCTTGTCTACTTGCTCTTGAAACAATTCCAAGGATCGCAAACCTACAGTATCTTTAAGCAGCCTGTTCCAATATTTGATTACCTTCTGGGGCAGAAAATTCCTCCTTATTTCTAACCTAAATTTCAGCTGCTGCAGCTTAAGGGCTTTACTCCTAAATCTGTCCACTAACGCCAGAAAAAAGCCCATCTGCATCCTGTCTGTAGCCACCATTCAGGTATTGGATGCCTGCTATCAAATTTCCCATATATCTTCTCTTCTTCAGACTAAATATCCCTAGTGCTTTCAGCATTTCCTCACAACTCATGCTTTTCAGGCTTCTAATTATTTTTGTCTGTGCCAGACTCCTCTTGTTTGTCAGTTTGCATCCTTCTTGAAGAGTGGAGCCCCAAACAGGACACAGTACTCAAAGTGAAGCCTCAACAGGCATGAATAGACTGGAAGAATCACTTCCCTTGATTTGAAAATGGCACTCCTGTTAATACAACCCAGGATGTTTTTAGGAACATGAGCACGTTCTGGGCTCCTTTTCATCTCATGCTCCACTGTAACCCCAGGCCCTTCCCTGCAGTCCTGCAGTCTGGCCAGTTGTTCCCCAGTCTGTATTTGTTCATGTGATTATTTCATCTCAAATGTAGGACCATTACTTCACTAGGATGGAGAAATGGCCTACAATCCATGAGATGAGATCCAACAAGGACAATTGCCCTTTGGAGCAGAGTTGTAAAATGCTGGACTGTACGCAATACCAACCATCTTGGTGTCATCCACAAATTTGCTAAGTGTGCACTTGATCCTGTTATGCAAATTATTAATGAAAATGTTGAACAATACTGAGTCCTAAATCCTACTAGACATAAAGCCATTGAGGAATGTCAATATGATGAAATAAGGATACTGTCTACATGAGATGATAACACATTCGGCAAATCCTACTGTGTATTAGTGCACCACAGCAAAAGCCTGCTAATGCACAGTAGGTTTAGGCTACTGCATTTTAATGTCATGAAAGACGATGCGCTGGTGCTATTGCGCTGTAGCACTGGTAACTTAGTACTTGTTATTACAGGTACTAAACTTAACGCACAGTAACAATGGCACATTAGTGCATATGTAGACATGCCCCCAGGTACATATCTACCATACAGATGGTTTCTATCATCTCCTGCAGTGAATAACCCAGCAAAGGGTTACTGCAGTAACTAACTTCTTCACCTCATTTTTTCCACTCCCTCCTGTTTCTCACTGTTGGGCTACTAAACAGCTGAGCCTGCTTTTAGCTCTGCTCCTCCATTATTGGTTCTAATTTGTTGGGCGATCAAATCCTATAGGAACAAAGCAATGTAGTTCAGGTTACTAACTTGCAGCATGCCTTTATTGGACAAGATTGAGGGGGGACACAGAAATATAACCATTATTAGATCTACATCAGAGACAGAATAATTGTATTAGAAAAAGGTAGATAGACTAGAGGAAGATCAAGAGCTGGCGATAACAATGAACCATGAAATGATTGGGGTTAGCTTAACTCCATGTGAACAGAAATATACCTGTTCCTGGCAGGCAATTTTTTGTAAATTTTGACCAGAGAAGAAATTGTGGTGGGGGGCAGGAGTCTGGGGGTGGGCAGAGGGGATGCCCCCTCTTGATCTGGCCCTGGATCCTCTACACCTCTTCTGGATCTTCCCCTAGCACCACGCTGACTAGGGAGTCATAACAGATATTTTTGTAGCCGGCAATTTTTTTCCAGCTGCAAGGGTGTATTTCTGTACACTTACAGAATTGGAGAAAGGAGCTTGCGGGCTCTTGAGAGACTGCAAAATGCCTTCCTAGACTGAGGGCACAGGAGTAGGTTTAATGAAAAAAAATCTGTCTCCTGCATTGGGGAACGGCTGTTGTACTCGGACTTAGTGGTGAGAGGGACAGAAGCAGGGGAAAAGAAACAAAACAAAAATACAGAGTCTAAATCCAGAGGGGTTCATAAAGTCAAAATTTGAAAAGGTTTTAGAGGGCTAGGGAATTAAGAGTTTGATCTTAGCAAAGCATGGAAAGGAGAAAAGCAGCTGCCATCACCAGAGGACTAGATTAATTGATTCATTGTACTGTAACGGAAAATGATACATTATAATGTCTCCTTAGGCATCAGTAGAGCAACGCAGAATTAACAACATTTTCAACACTTCATGTGGAATAAAATAGATTACACAATTTGAGATGATGTTTAAGATGTGACATACATGATTAAAGAGAGTAAGAAATATGTACCTACAGTACAATAATTAGGGAAAGTGGAGGTGGGCTTTAAGTAGGCAAAGATGGCAGTAAATAAAAGCAGTGAGACCACCATGATGTGAGGAATGCAGGTGGAGAAGGCTTTATGCTGACCATCCTCAGAGGGGATTCTGCGCACTGCAGTGAATATCTGAACATACGACACTATGATGAATGAAAAACAGCCTAAGCCGAGACACATGCTAAAGGCCAAAATTCCAATTTCTTTGGTGTTTGCATCAGAACAGGAAAGCTTGAGTACCTGGGGAATATCACAGTAGAACTGGTTTATGACGTTACAGCTGCAGAAAGGTAAATTAAAAGTGTTACCAGTGTGCAGTGCAGAATACAGAAGAGAAATAACCCATGCGCTAGCTGCCATTCGGGTGCAAGTTCTCCAGTCTATTAGCATCTCATAGTGCAGTGGTTTGCAGATGGCGACATAGCGGTCATATGCCATGATTGTAAGGATGAAGAAGTCAGCTGTAACAAGGAAGACAAAGAAGAAGACTTGTGTGGCACATCCCGCATAGGAAATTCTCCTTGTGTTCATTAGAGTATTAGTTATGGATTTGGGGACAGTCACAGAGATAGATCCAATATCTAGGATGGACAAATTCATCAGGAAGAAGTACATGGGGGTATGCAGACGGTGGTCAAAGACTACGACTATAAAAATTAGGAGATTCCCCATCATTGCTATCAGGTACACTGTTAAGAAGATGACAACATGCAGGATTTGTAGTTCCAAGGATTCAGAGAATCCCAGGAGGATGAACTCAGTCACCGTTGTTTGATTAGACATTTCCTCCTTCAAGACATTACCTGTTGTCTGTGGTGGGAGACACAAGGACAGCTGTCAAATGCAGTCACCCTGATTCTCCTGTCGTTAGCCTCTCATAGCTTTAGGACAGGTGCACATTTTCCAAATTCAAAACATTGTTTCATGGAATATTTGGCTTTTGAACACATTTTCAGGAAGAAAGGGTTGCTTTGAGGAGCATACTGTTGTTTTCCTCTAAAATATTATACAGTCAAAAGAGAAGGTTTTATTAATCTCTCTAATGTCACCAAATACCCTCATAGAAACTATGACTTGGTTGTACCCGCTATTTTGAAGGGCAGGCTTTAAAGCCGAACCACCTTTCCTGTCATAGAACTGTTTTCTTAATGAATCATAAATATTCTTTTAAATTTAGATATGTCTGATTTTGGCAAATATGTTGGTCTAAATGTTACTTTTATATTAAAAGGCACATTCTTCACTCAGCACCAGTGCACAAGATTCATAAGAGCCACTCACTCAGAGTTGCAAATGCTTGATACCCATAGAAATCAGATCATAAATGAGGATACTCTTTGTGCAGCTATAAAACGAAGCTCCAATGAGCTTCATAAAGCTTCAGCCCTTTATATCATGAGAAGGTCTGCTCCAGTGCAATATTGTTTAAAAATACCATGCATTAAATACCTATTCAAATATTCTTATCAAAATCAATTGCCTATCAACATGAAAAGCTTGTCACATTTTACTGTGAAGCTATTACATTAAAATAACAGAAAGGCATGGTTCTCTATTTCCAGGGACGTAGATAAACACACTTTAAAACCACAGTGGGATATAGTGATTCAGCTCCAAGCTCTGCATGGCTGCTTCCTCACAAGTAGAAATTGCTATGTGCCCCAAAGCCCAAGGCTTCTCTGTGCCATGAATTAAATACTGCACTTTTGAGTAGATATTAATTAATATGAGACTACAGAGTTACTATATGCCACAGTATTTACACAGTATTAGGAAGGGGGCTCAGAATTGTAATGATTTAGGAATTTTTTTCACTAGTCATATTCACTTATTTTATCCTTGTGTATAAAGAAACTAAAAATTAGATTGAAAATAACAAACTTACAGGGCTGGTTTAGAGTGGTTTGTTTTTTGTGTTCCCCCAACTTCTAATGCATTCAGTTTTTCAGTTCTTCCAGGATAGTATAGTCATCGTCCATCTTCAATATCTGTGCATTCTTTCCATTGGTTAACTGGGTGCAAAAAGTACAGACCCCTACGAGTCCTTCACATCTATCACACTTCTCTGTACTAACAGTGGATGCAAACCAATTTTTCTCTGAAGATATCTTGTGTGTAACTGGCCTGAAGGAGCTGAAGCTGCAAAGCAGCTGTTATGTAGGGTCTTTTTTTTTCCTAGGGTCATGTGGGACTCATTCCCAGGAACCCTGCACAGCTCAGAAGCAGAGACCAGAAATAAATATTTGAAGACAAAAAGGACCACTTTGATGTACTTTCTTGACCTCTAGCAAGCCACAGGCTGTAGGATATTACTTATGGTCCCTTCTCCTACCAAAGGTCTCTATGAACTGTGCCCCAAATAGGCCATTGTATGTAGGCATCAAATGATACATATAGGTACCCACTCATATTTAGAAAATATCCTGTGTGGGCTTTTAGTTTACTCTCATAACTTAGGTGATTTTGTAAACCTCACTGAACACGTCTTCACGTTGCCACATGGTGACACTGTTACTGTGCCATACTTTAGTTCTTCCTTTTGGAAGTACTAAAACATGGCGCAGTGACTGCCCGTACTGCACTGTACTGGTGGTGCACGCTGTGATTTCCCCACTACGTTGCCAGAGCAGTGCAGTTCAAGTAGGGAGTGTGCCACTACGGTAACATAGCTGGTGATCACATGTAGACTCACGTGATCACTGTGTCACCATAGCGCGGTTTACAGTGATGTAGCACATCACTACATCACTGTAGGACAACATGTTGACACAACCACTAAGTGCCAGAGTACATCTTTCAAAATCTGGCTGCCTCTGCACACCTACCCCTGTGTTCCTCTTGCTACTTTCCACGTGCTGCTCCTCTCTCAAAGTGCAGGACTCATTAAAGTTGTTTCTTATGAAGTCCAAAAAGCTAAGTGAACAAATCTTGGGCACCCAAGTCCCTTACAATGCTTGAAAAATCACAGTTTGGAGTGACATACAGCCATCACCCATGAGCAAGACCCATAGAAATCTTGAGAACTACACTCATCTATGCAACTTCTCCATGTGACTTGTCACTGCCTTTTCTATTCTTTTTATCTCCAATTTGTGCGATAAAAATCTGAGAGTGTAAAACCAGTCACATATTTTCTAAGCCTTTGCAAGAGTCTGTCTATGTCCTTAGACCAACACGGCTACAACCTAAAAACCAGTCACATGAATGATTTCGTTTTGGGATATTTATTTTTAATCAAACTGTTCAACAATTCCACCAACACATGCCAGAGCTGCTACATTATTTGCAAACACATTTTGTCTGGTTTTCACAGGAGAGCAGGGATTGCCAGAAGCCAGAAAGCTGAAAAGAGTCCACCCTAGTAGCTTCCCTGCAGTATCCCAAAACAAAAGTTTCAATGTGGGAGGAGTTGCTCTGAGTGTACCCCTCCACAGACTGAAGTTTGGGTTATATTTACTGGGCCCGGTGCTGTTCAACAAGTTTATTAATGATTTGGGTGCTGGCACTGAAGCCTTCTTAAAGCAAGTTTGCCAACAACACGAAACTAGAAAGGCTTATGAACAGGTTGAAGGATGGGAGCACAATTCAGAAAAGATCTTCATAGATCAGAAAACTGTGCTGAAGCTAACAGGATGAAGTCCGACGTTGAGAAATGCAAGGTGCTACACCTCAGGGAGAATAATCAGTCATTTAAAATTGGTGATATCTGGCTAGGTGGCAGCACTACGGAGAAGGATTTTTCCATAGTTTTGGTAGTGTGAGCCTGCAGAATGGTGTAGTGGCAGAAAAGGAAAATGAAGTTTTGGGATGTATTAAAAGAAGCATTAGGTGCAAGATACAGTAGGTGATAGTGACTCTCATTTTGTGCCGTTAGTAAATAGTGTCGATTATGTGTAACAAGTGTGTCCCAGCTAAGGTTTACTAAACATATTTATAATGCTTGCACATTTGCTTTATACATAAATTTGGTGGAAACATATTTTTTAAATGTTTGTTGCCAGCCATGAGCTCTTTGAATACATAAATCAAAAAAAAAAAAGGGTTGTAACACGCAATCAAATACATCACACCACTGTTTAACTTGAACTTGTTTTGTTTGTTCTTCCAGCTCTTCCTCTTTTCTCCTTCGGTTCTACCAGAGCTTCCTTTTTAACGTGGGTTGCTTTTCATTTTCCGGTTGACCTTCAGTTAAATTCTCTGTCAAATTTTGGTAAAGCTCCAGACAAAAACTTGGAAATCTTCAACAAAATGGAATAAATCAGTCTTGCTTAAACATTTGCCCACTCTTCACGAGCTTTTCAAAACTTTTCAACCTTCTCATACAGCTGATGAAATCATTTCCTTCAGCATATTTCCAGAGAATAATAGCTGAAAACTCTGGTTAAAAAAAAGATAACTATATTGTCTACTTAACTTAAAAAGTAATTTGTTGAACTCTGAGTACCTCTTAGCTTCTCAGTCTTGCTTGCTCTCTGACTCCACTCTCTGCCTGATCTCTTGTCTCTTTGGTTTGTCTGGTCCCTGGAGTCTGCACGTTCCTCCCACCCCCATGTTGCATCTCAGTTCCTTACCGGCCCCAGAGCTGGCCACCCATGACATGGTATGTCATGGACTCTTTCTAATTTGTCCACATCTTTCTCACAGAGGGGTGCCCAAAATTGGACAAACTATTCCAGAAGAAGCTTCACAAATGCTAAATATAATAGAAGAAGTGCACTCTTGGTTCCTATTCCTCAGTGACCTGATCCATGGTCTTTTCTGGTATTTGGGTATTGCTTACTGGCCTAAGATTCTCATTTCCTGTCTTTCTTAAGTAATGGCAATACATTTGTCCTTTTCCAAACATTATCTGGGACCTCATACTACCTCCAGAAGATCTCCATGATATTCACCACATTTTAGATAACTGTTTACTTTATTATGAGAGCATTGCAAGCCTAAGGAAATTCAAAGTGACAGGCTAGAATCCCCAGTTTGTGTAAAGTCACATAGTTTCATTAGGCTCAAATTCCCCAGCTCACCATAACATTGCTAAAATCACTGGGTCTGATCCCTTTCCAGCGTAAGTAACTACTCACCTATCTCATTAATGCAATGACATGCATCCTGGATGGTATCTTTTTCATGCTTGAGGTACTGGTGGATTAAAAATAAATCCTTTTCATAATAAAAAAGATGGGGGTTTTTTTAGGTGTAATTGAAATGCTGCTAGGCTGTAGTGGCAGAAAGTGGGGGTTCTTGTTTTGCTTCCAGGGACATGAGTTAAAACTTTACTTCAAGCTGGTACTTAAAACTGCTTGCAGGTAACTCAGCTCTACACAGTACCTGGTCTAGCTGAGGAGTAACACTTACCATGACATGAAGCTGACAGTGTGTGCCAGTGGCTATAAGACACTGAGGTTCCTTGAGTATATTACCCCAATCAGACATTACACTTGTCAAATTGTGATATAGCTTAATGGCAAATTGGTGGTTTGGCAAATGATAAGAGGTAGAAACAGGTCTACAGGTTTGTGTTTTACACACCACAACACATAAAAGCACACTTATGCCAAAGTTCATGTGCAGTATCAGCTGGGGAGACTCAAGGGATGTGGGGGTGGGGCAGGTGGCACAGACTGTCAGCACATCTTGAATTTGCTGAATTGTCCAAATCTGTCCAGTCTGTACCCAACATTTATAAAAGGCTCGTGCTGATAGGCATTCTATGGTATTATTATTATTATTATTATTATTACCAACTGACAACCGATGCCCATGAAAAAGCAAACTTGCTAAATGGG